TGATCTATCTGTTGTGCTGGAATTATGTGTTTGATGCTTGGATATACTACACTCTGGTGCTTCTTCTTAGTTATTTTTTGTTTCTTATTGGTCAATCTATTCCACAGGGGGTGCTTCATTGGGTTGCTGAACCTTCCCCAGGAGTTGATCCACTCAAAGTGGAAATCAGACTGTTTGACAGACTGTTCCTTTCAGAGGTTGGCCAACATTACTTTCTAAGACCCCGAACCCCCCTCTCTGAAAATCTTTCTGAATCTAATGTGTGTGTGTGTGTGTGTGTGTCAGAACCCTGCTGAGCTCGATGATTGGCTTGCTGATCTGAACCCACAATCCAAAGTGGTAATACCCGATGCATATGCTGTGCCCTCACTTCGGAGTGCTGTTGTTGGGGACACATTTCAGTTTGAAAGGCTTGGTATGTTCCTGCATTGACTTGTTAATGTTTTTATTTTTATTTTTTTACTTCAGCTTCGTTTTATAGAATAAATAAATAGGCACACTTTGCATGAGACGAATCCATAGGTGATATTCTGAATGTAATTCAATTCTATTATGTCTTGGTCAATAGAAAGTATCTTATTGCAAATCTGTCTGACAGTGTATGTTTCTTCTGTTGCAGGCTATTTTTCAGTCGATAAAGATTCAACTCCTGAAAAACTTGTGTTTAATCGTACCGTGACACTGCGAGATAGCTATCATAAGGGTGGGAAGTAGGGGGGTTAGTCGTGGAAATCAGAGTAGAGAAGAATGTGGGAAGTGGTTTTTGGCAGCAACAAGTAACGTGTTTTGAATATTTGTAGTATACAGTTGACATCGTTTTGAACCAACCAATTATATTTTGTGTATATTGAACCAATTATACGACAAATTCATATATACAGTCAGTCGAGATGGTTTTCATGGAAGTCTGTTCACCCGCGTTTCCAGTGTTGTGCATTGTTGTCGTCGTAATTATCAGGATGCGTCTAGAATAGGAGCTTCTAGGTGTTGGTGTTTACAAAATGCATGGGTGTTCATAACGTTGCCTTTCCTCGACCCAAAAACCAAAAGAAATTGCATTTCAAGTTTCATGTGCGGGGCTATCTTTCTCAAAAAGAAATCAAACTACATTCAGTCAAAAGTTAAAACGTAGACTGGAGACAGATCTTAAAGAATTGACTAGAAAGATTGAGGTGATTGAATTTGAAGTTGTACAATGAAGAAGGAAAGTTCCGTTGTTGCTACGAAAGCTGATCAAAATTCAAGTGACCTTGTCTACTTGTCTTGATGTCAAACCAACAATATAATACAACTGTTGGCAACCACATATTATTGTGAATGTTGAATGGACAAGAATATCAACCTTGACTATATGAAATGAAAGGATTTTAAGACATGCGTGTTGGCAAGGGCCATGAAACTGCTAAACATACAACCTCCTAATTCCACAAGTAAACAAAGTTATTGATTTTGTGCTAGAAAAGGGAAACCACAAGTGTCGGCTCTTTCTGGTTAGTGATTGATTAGTGGGGTGGGGTGCCCTTAAACTAGATTAAAAGAGGCAATAAAAAGTAAGTCTTGTTGAGTGTTGAGTCTTGTTGACACTCACACATTGAACACAAGACGAGTAAGAAGAAAAGTAAAAGGTGCAAAAATGGGGTGAGGTGAGGTGGGCTAATAGGAAAGAGTTCAGTCTGTTCACGCTTACTTGTGAAAGCGAAAGATTGATATGATTTGATTGAGATTTGAAATTGAAAGAATAAAAGTGACAACCATATTCTGTTTTCCCATCATCCATTCTAAATCTAAGGTTCCATTCCATCCAGGAGAGCCTCACATGAAAATTTAGCCACCATTTTGGGTCACATGCTCTGCTCTGCTGCCTCTTTTTTCAAGGATAACCCTCTCATCTCATCATCTCATCATCTCATCATCTCATCATCTCACTAACTATTAGTTCTTCTCACCCCACATTTACATTTCACACAAACTTTACCATGAAAAACATCCAAGAATAAGATACTCATCATCACCCACTAGAAAAGATCCATACCCTACCAGTCTAGCTAACAGCTTCCCTAGTTTTTATATATCTTAGCTTACCAGTGACCACGTGTTATATAGAATCAAATTGTTGTTGACTGAAGGTTGTAAAAATAAACAAGAATATGTAATCATATGGTTGGTTCCATTCCATCAAGAACATGATCATTCCATCAAGAACATGATCATAATTTATTCTGGTACGTGACTTGTAGTAGAAATAGAAAAGCCCCTTTCAAGCCTAGTTAAAAATGGGTTATATTTTTCAACCTTACTGTAGATTCTGTATTATTTTTCTTCCTCTGTTTCTGTTTGCCGACGTCGCTGCCTGTTTGATACAGTTTTTCATTATCAAACATTTTTGTTTTGCTCTTTAGCTAGTCATTCTCAACGGTCATGTCAATGACAACGTTTTCCAACTAGACAACAAACTCTCTCTCTCTCTCTCTCTCTCCCAATTCATTTGTCTCCGGGTTTTATCTGCATCCTTCTAGTTCATTTTGGCATACTCGAAGCACTCTTCTTCTAATTTATTGATCAGGGCCCTGCCTTTTTTTTTTTTACAGCATTTTCATTGCAATATCATAAAATAAGAAGAGAAAAAAAAAAGAAAGAAAATGCAAACGAGGTGTGTGGTGTATGTATCGGATATCCATATCCACAATTAAGATGTGACTCCACTTTTGTTGCTTTGAGTTTGAGTTGTCATTTCAATTTCTTGGATTGACTGCACACTTAATGCAACGTCAAACAGCATCTTAATCATGCAGTTTAATTTTGTTTCAAATCACAGACTGCGTTGCTAACAACAGAACAATCATTGTTGAAGATACAGTTAATTCATAATGTCTCTATCCATCCATAAACACTACACAACTTCTCTTCAACACAGAATCATCCACTCAATTTAGCTATAATTACATGATTTTAATGTAATGAATTTCAGCTAAATTTGTAATTATATGATTTTACTTATGATTTTAATATATTGCAATTACAAGATTTTACTTATATTTCTGTACAAGCTTGAACTCTGTCACCCAACATCATTTGCATAAATACATAACCTGAAGGCATATACCATTACATTATATACGAGGAAATATCATGATTGTGGCATGAGAGCAAGTCAGAGCTTAATCAAGAATGTAGATAGAAAATCATCACGAATATGTGAAGTGGTCCAAAGTGCCACCCAAGTAGTTATGCCTTTATACCTGCTATTCTTGAAAAATCACTTTGACAACTGTTTGTTCATCGGTTCAGATTTTGAAACAGTTCATGAGTTCATATTAATGTTATTCGATGACTTCTTAACATGTGTGCTTTTTGATATTTTCATCCCCAAAGAGCAAGAGATTCTGATAAAAGTACCGAAAAGATAATTTTGCTCCAAAGAAGCTTGTCTACAAGGAAAATGCCCATTAACTCCAGAAGAGGCAAATATCTTCTCTCTTGTTAATGTTTCTTTATTGTCTCTCTTATGAAAAGTTTTTTTTAAAATTTTTTTATACAGTAGAAAGCAAGAAAAAATAGTGGGGGAAAAAAAAGGTATGAGAATTAGGCATAGGAGGGTGAGATTTGTTATGTGATTTGGTATTTATATCATACACTCAAAAGTCTTACACAATACACCATTTAATGAAAAACATTAAAATCAATATATTTTTTTTAATACCACAGTACTTTTTCTTATCTTTTTTAAAAGTCCTAATTGAATACTACCGGACTTATATTGATTATTTAAAAATCCTAATTGAATACCACAAGACTTTTATTGGTTACTTAAAAATCTTAATTGAATATTATTGTACTTTTAAACTTCAAAATGATCCATTAAAATCTCAATTAAATACATCCTAGACTGTAATAATATTGGGGCTTGTTTGGTACATCAGACTATATTGACTTATTTATGACGGATAGTATTAATATATTTCGGAGAGTACTAAAAATTTATCCATAATATTATAAGGCATTTGATATTATTCCGGATAAATAATTTGACTATGTTATGTTGTGTTTGATGCTTATGGATAACAGCATATCAGACTATTTTTTTAAAATTCTTTGATAATTTATGGGATCATTCCCTTGATCCAATTTCCCATTTTACTTGGCAGGATTCCCTCCTTCAGTCATAGCCCCCACTGGTCCTTGGACCGCCTCAAATCCCACAACTTCAACATCCATGCCTTCCACCAAAGAACAGCCCTATAAACTGAAAGTCCTGATGTAAAAGGCAATATCATGTTATATGAAGAAAAATAACGAAAACCAAGTCCAAATCTAGATTTGAATCAAAGTTCAGCAGTGCATGAGCAACTAAAAGCTTCATAGATCATTCAAACACCAAAAGAAAAGATGATAAACCTGGATCATAAAATTAAACAAATACAAAATTACCCAACACTCAAAAGAACAAGGTCAATGTAAGTGCAGCCTTTATATGCATTCAATTTACGATTTTTCAAATAAAGAACAAATAAATCTGAACAGTTACTCCAATATCGCAATTAAAAGCGAAAAAAAAAAATCAAAGAAAAACGCATCAAATAACAGATTCAATACATTCAAAACGATTGGGACTTACATCGAACAAGCAACAAAATCCAATAAAATTAACCCAACATATATGATCTAAACACAATTCTTTCACCAAGAACAATTGAGATCAATCGGATCAACCCATTAACCAAAATTAACAACAAAAGAAAACAGAAAAAAAGAAAAAGAAACCTATGGAAGATAGACAAGTTGAGCGTGTATTATCTAAATCGGAGTTTGTGAGTTGTATTAGTAATAGTAAGTAAGGTAAGAAGAGTATTAAAAGCCCAATCCATTTGACATAATCAAGTAATTAAATAATACAAATTGACACCAAACAAACAACATAAACTATTTACTCCTATCCGGACCAAAAGCAATAAGCAATAAGTCACTGCTTTGCTTTGTCTGTGAATACTTAAGTTATTAACAAAAACAATAAGTCCCTGTCGTCGACAAATGCAATATGAATCCCAACAACAATCTCTACTTATTCTACTATTCTCTCAATTTCAAAGACCATCCAGCTTGATGATGCCCCCATCTCATCTCATCTCATCTTTCCTAACTTTCTAAATTGTCACATCCCCTCCATGTTCCATAAAGTGTCAGTCATGTTGTCCAACATCCAATCACCTGCTGTCATCTGGCAATCAAAGTGTTGATTGTCAAAATCGCAAATTGCTGAAGCAGGGTCCAGGTTGAGACCCTCCATGTCATAGGCATAGCCACTGCTGCTGTCCACATAGTAACAGTCATTTAAAGCTGGGCTGCTGCTGTAGACGGTGTGGTCAAAAGCATGAGTTGGACTTGTTAGGCGTTCTGAAGTTTGAGCCAGCTGGGAAATCAAAGAATCTGAGGAAAAGATACTTGGGCTTGTGACAGAACTGGAATTTCCATTAATGGGATGATCAAATATTTGTGAAACCTTGCTTGGTGGAGAAGTTGAGAGTGAAATAGAAGGAACAGAGCAATTAGGTGACAGAGAAGGAGATGCAGAGTTCTGAGAACTCAAGGTTGTTGGCAAGTAAGAAGAAGAAGATTGCTCCATCTTTTGAAGCAACGTTGGCATCCAGAAACATCGAACCGCGTCAAGGAACCTCTTGCTGTTGGACTCAATATTGAGCTGACGTGCTTGTTTTTGCACCCTTGTTCTCCAATAGTTCTTTATCTCATTGTCTGTTCTTCCTGGCAAATGCTGTGCAATTTTAGACCACCTGAAATTGGCAAAATATAAGAACACAGAGTTAATTATGATTTAACTTAATAGTTATAAACTTTACTGAATGATTAAGCTTGAATATAGTTAATGACCTGTTACCCCACTTGGAATGGAGTTCAAGGATCATGAGTTGTTCTTGTGGAGTGAGGTTGCCACGCTTAATGTCAGGTTTTAAATAGTTTAGCCATCTCAATCTGCAGCTTTTTCCAGTCCTCTTCAATCCTGAAAAAAAGTTGAATGACAATCAAGAAATGAAACGGAGGTCATAAGCAAAAGGTTGTGATGTGATGAGAAGGGCTGACACTTACCTGCACATTTTGCTAACGAATTCCAATGGCCTTCCCCGTGACTAGCAATGTAATGTATAAGAAGAGTGTCTTCTTCAAGAGTCCATGGCCCTCGTCTTAGCTCAATCTCCTCTTCATTAGGATTGCAAGCTCTCTTTGTGACAGCAGCCATAGCTGCTCTGCTATGTTTGTGTTTATATTTGTGTGGGGAAGACAGGGAGTTTTTTTAACAAGCTTGGTTGTTTTGAGAAAGAGGAATGAAAGTAAAGCCAATCAAAGCCAAAGATTTATAGAGCGCAACAAAGTTCAAATAATTACAACTTCAAATCTAGAAAAGTAAAAACCCAAAAAGAGTTTGTCCAAATGCTTTTGGCTTTCTAAACTGACCAAAAAAAAGAATTTTTTTTTGAAATAGGGTTGGTTGTGTAGTTCAATAGGGATACGAATTATAGCCTTGCAGAGGTGGCAAAGCCAGAGCAGCTAACTAGAGTTGGGCCACAACACAATAAATCATATTCGAGTCATCCCTTGGTCAAGTGTACATAACCACAGAAATTGGACACTCCAAGGGCTCTCTCTGTTTTTTTGTCAGAACTCGAAGGGCTCTTTTATGTATAAAAAAAAAGATACTTGAAATTTATGTTTTTGAGCAAAGGAAGTCTAGGCTAGTGGAAAATGGTCTTAACTTGCATATCAATGGTCTCATATTCGAACCCCTATAACATTTTGGTAGTGCATGTGTGAGAAAATCCACCTGCCCTGTTATCGCTTGTATCAAAAGAAAAAAATTTCATGTATTTGAACATTACTCACATAAGTGTTTTATTTGAGGGACACCTCTGTAGAGCCCACTCCGCATTGTATTTCACTAATCCAAACCATATATTTTTTAGATAATCATTCAAATATCATCTCGACAAAAAACCATTTGAATCCAATATCATTTAACCACTCAATTGAGTTACTAAAATTTTAGTACTTTCTTAAAACACTGTGTTCATTGATTTTGTAGGACACAATTGGATGTCGAAAAGGTTTCTGATTTGTCGAATTTTTTGCAAAGATGATCTATGAATGTAAACTTAAAAAATAGATCGTTTGGATCGTTGAAATCTTTTTGGTAGAAGACTCTAAAGAGTGTCCCACAAAGTTTATTTGAGGAATCCCTCAATATAAAAAGACTGTATATATATACTATAAAACAATAATAATAATAATTTCATGTACTGTTGGATAGATTTGAAAAAGGTCTACAGAAAAAGAAGACAGATGAGACTTTGTCCTCGGAAATAAAATGTAGGTATTTCTTTAGGGGGAATGCTACCTTCCATTTCTATCCTTGTCTATCTGGATCCCCTAATTGTGCAAGAAACGTGCTTGACTAGACAAAATATATTATACTCCACAAAACTACAAAACTACAAAAACTACAAAACTAAATGTGGAATGATGGGGTTATTCATAGTTGGCGGCATTGAAGCATGTTTCGAACTTTGTCAGATATTGACAGTGTGGTTGGAATATAGCGATGCTTAATCCAAGCACAGTAAGTAACTGTGGTTAATAATAATATACCTAGTATTAGTATTATTAAACTTTTAATAATAATGGTTATGAAACTAGAATTTCCCTGGCTCTCCAAAGTGAGTTAGATTCTAGGGAAAGAGTGTACTAATTACTAAACTAAGAAGAATCAAGTGTGAGAAGGGAAAGGTTTGAAAGTGGGAAGTGGCCAAGGGGTGGTGGGGTTGTGGGTGGGGGGGGACCAGGAGTTGCTTAAAGGATTGCATAGATTAAAAGGCAGTGAGAATCAATTATTGGAAGATAAAGGTTTCCATATTTGAGTCAATGGCTCCATCAACGGAGATAGATTACCTATTTTTGAAACATCTAAACAACTTTGAAGACTCCTCCTGCTCATCGTCATGTGAACTGATATGGGATAGATAGACTCACAGGACAGAAGCATCAGATATCTCTTTTTCCATTTTTCCACACGAAAAATTTCATGCAATTATTGTTATTGTGTTGTGTGTGTAGCTAGCTAGCTAGAATGAAGTTTTGAACTGAACGTAAACGACAATGGCCATCAATGATCCAATGGAATGGAGGCACGCGTGTTTATGTAGTGGGGTGCTAATCATTTGCGCTTGATTATGTTAATCTGCAGAATGAATGCTTCATTTTTGTTCAACAACAATGTTGATTTTCATCCCCACCCCAACAACGTTTTCAAGTGTTTTTAGTGGCTCTAGTTTTGCTTTGTCCAGCATTGTAGTTGCACCAGTGTCCTTTTAATTTTGTCCATTATCCAAGTGCAATGTATAAACCAGGAAGAAATAGGAGCCGAGTTGCCTCATAATTAACTAAGAAGAAATTAGGAACCGGGTTGCCTCATAATTAGGAACCAGGTTGAGTTGAGGCTGACAACAACTGATCACACAGAGCACAAACAGAGCATACACCTAATATAAAGGCCAACTCCAAATTCTTTTGTTTCGTCCAAGTTCAATGAAAACATCATCTCAAAATGAAAGGAGACTATATTCTTAATAATCTCAAAATTAAAGGAGACTATATTCTTAATCTGCAGAATTTATTGGACAACTGGATAATGCCGTTTGATTTGATCACAAGTTTTCACAACCTGAATAAATAGCAAACAAAAGAGCGGACGCAATAATAATAAAAATTAAGTTCCTTTTACCAATAATTTTGAAGAAAAATACTTGAGGGCTCTTCAACTACAAGTTTAAACTAGGCTAAGGCTAGGCTATATGAAGAATTTTGATGTGGTATATGATGCTGCTGAAGCTGATCATATGTTTGGCATGTAGCTTTGCACTTTTGGAACAAATCCCTGACCTCATCATCAACTGAAATAGTATGGAATATATGATCGTAAAACAGAACTCAGCATCGCAAGTCCAATTTTGTCTTCACCGCCACCATTATTGAGTCACTTCAATTTTACTCTCATATCAGCTCATGTTTTCCAAAAAGCTTATAAATATTTGGGCCTGCCATTTGGACTGTGCTAATGTTTAAGCATGTTGGCGGTTGTAGTAATGTACACACTGTGTGGGGTTCGGCCCTGGTAAGAGTGGCTTTAGGCATTGGGCTAAAAACATCTTGCTAGCCCATTCTCATTAGACCCGAACTCAAGCCTATACTTTTTACCACCAAGGAATTCAATAACAAGGTGACCAAAAAAATTTGCTCGATTATGATGACCTTTATCTCATTATTGAATTAAACCCAAGGTTTTTTTCTTTCTTTTAGTACAAGCAATTATGAGAGGGGAATTTATATAAATATTCATTCGGTGTGTGGGACTTTTGACTAACTGAGCTATACTCCACTGACTAAATTGAAAGTTTTGTCACTTTTAATAAAATTTTATTAAAATTTCAGACAACTTTAATTTTAAGCTTCTTCTTCCGTAATCATATGACATTATTCGCCTATAACTTTCGTCCCAACACATTGAAGCTTCACGATCTGTCGATCATGTAGGCTGCTGCTGAGATGAATATTTGATTATAAACTTTAATTTTGTGACCGAAGGAGAACCCTAAAACACTACCTGCCTACCAATTTGGGCTACCAAAATTGAAGAGTGCGTTTCTTAAGAGCAAAATGTATTGTTTTAGAAGTATTCGCACGTAGGAATGGGACTAGAGCAAACTTCACGTATATACGCAACGTAACAATACCAAACTGGTTTATGTACACCTAATTGCATTGGATAACTATAGGTATTATGAGAATATAACAACTGTTCGAGCTTTCAACAAGTTCCAATGTTAATCTTTTCCCATCTCTCTGAATTGAAAATATTTAATTATATGAATCAAGGACTAAACAAGTACTTAAAGTCGGTAACAGCCCATTTGTGATGCACCTTCAAAATAATTTGGATGAGGATGGTGACAGTCTCATTTCACCTTATATGGCAAAGCTGCCATTAAATCTGTAAACCATAACCACATTCTGGTTCCAACCATTAAAGGGTATATAGTTTGGCATAGCTAGAACACATCCTAACCTAATTCAAAATCAGGCAGGCAGCTACCACAATAATACTACAAGGGCATAAGAATCAAGACTTATTATGCTGAAGATCAACACATAAACGGTACTTAATTTGTACTCTAAGATGCTACATATTCTAGGTTTTGAAAAAGAAACAGTTTCAAGACGCGCAAAAAAGCCAACTTGCCAAGCAAGGCATGCATGGCATATCAGAATGCCCAATTTGGGGTTTTGAGGGGGATGGGGGTTGTGAATATCAGTCGGTATGGGATTTCAACGTGCATTTGGAATAGAGAAATCAAGGCTCCACATTTAGAAAGTTTAGAGTCAACATTTTCATGGGTTGTTTAGATTGTGAGCACACCACTTAAGGTCAATCTTTATATTTGGTTTTACAAGCTTTGATTGAAGGGTGTTGAAGTGGAAAGCCTATGTATGCGATTTGTGGTAAGATCATCATTATCCATAAAGGAAGATATATGTTCCCATCAAAAACCAAAACCAAAAACAAAAAATAAAGATAATTAATCACACCAAATTTTGCATAATTCACCCCCAAAACTGGTGCATGGTCCCACGTACCAGGTCGATATATCAACTGAATGAGGATATATCCAAACCAAAAAAATAAAAATAAAAATAAAAACAGAGAAAGATCAGAGGATACAAAGTCAACTTATAACTGAAATGAAAATCTGTACGTATAATTATTCTGCTCTTGTACTTCAATTTCTATAAACTCGATCTGTCTCTAATTTGCCTAGGTAGATAAGTTTACCAAAGGCATGCAAAACCTCAAATTTCTCTGAAGACGACTGGAAGTTGAAGCATGGAACTCATAGACAATCTTTGTGAGTTGGAGAATCTAAGCGCCAATCATCATGAAATCATGGCTCTCTCCAATGGCATGAGTTTTAGTGATCATCAGCGACAAACTAACCAGCTCCCTCCGAACTTCATTCATGATAATATTCAAAGCTTTTCCCATTCTGATGATCCAAATCACGATGTCTTAGTTGCTCATTCCACGTCTCTGACTGGAGATTTTGCCCAAGAAAGCGAAAAGGGAAAGGTAATGTTGCTCTTGTCTTGTTATCTCTCTGGTTTATGGGAAGCTAGATTGATTTTCTGAATTTGTTTTCGTTTGGTAAATATTGGCAGCCCTTAGGAGGAAGGAAGAGAAAGAGAAACAATAGTGACAAAGATGGGGAGAAACTAAAAGAAGTCATCCATGTGAGAGCTAAGAGAGGCCAAGCTACTGATAGCCACAGTTTGGCAGAAAGGGTATTGTGTATATATATTTAAATTCTTTCAATTCGACTAGCTAGCTATGTGGTCATAAGCAGATGAAAAGAATCGTGTTAACTGATCGATAGAGTTTGTGCTTTAGAAGTACTTGTCTTGTGAATTGTCAAATTCAAATTTTGAAGCAAATTGTTCAACATGGTAGGTAAGAAGAGAAAAGATAAATGAGAGGCTGAAATGCCTGCAAAATCTTGTCCCGGGGTGCTACAAGGTGTGTGAAGTGATAATGTTCTTGCCTTGAACTACAAAGCAAAGTGATGAATTATTGTTTTAAGAGCAATCAATCATTATATTGTTTTTGTGTGGTAAATTTAATTTGCAGACTATGGGAATGGCAGTAATGCTGGATGTGGTTATCAGTTACGTTCAGTCACTGCAGAATCAAATTGAGGTGAGCCATTCCCATTTATATATATAACCATATGATATATGATGGAGATTTCTCATAAATAATAATTATCATGTCCAATCTAGCTAATATATTGTATTAAATCATTTTGTTTTGCTGTTTCCAAGTTTCTCTCTATGAAGCTTTCTGCAGCAAGCGTGTATTACGATTTCAATTCACCAGGTGTGGATGCTCTGGACACAATGCAGCAACAGGTATGAATTTTCACTGTTTTGCTTTTCATCTTTAAAAGTAATTAGATAATGATTATGTTGTCTTATAATTATGATATAAATATACTGTGTGATGAATGAACGAATGGGTATGTTGAAGTTGAAACTGATAAAGGCGAGCAATGTGGAATGGCTGATGATGTTGCAGGGGACAAATAATGCATATGAGGAGGTACAAGAAGAGATGGTAAGATCAGAAGGGTATGGAGGAGGGCTTTCTAATTACAACAACAACTCAACATGGCCTATTTGAGTTGATGAGAGACTTCAATCTTCACATCCCATGCTCCTATCCTATAGGCTATAGCCACAATCAAACACAAGATCAATGCCATCTCTCATCTTCTCCTCATCCCATTATAATAAAAATATACTCTCTTCTCATTTCGTGCGCATAGTTGCTTGCATAGGATTCTTATACTATTATTGTATTATAATTAATTAATTATAGCTGCAGTAATATTAACAGAGGATTGTATTTCTACTGTTGTAACTTGTATCAGTAGTATCACCATTACTAATTAATGATCATCAAAAGGTTGAGCATATTAATTAGTCTCTTCTCTTCATAATTATATTAAATTAATTGAATCATGAGTACAGGTAAATTGCATCCTTCATAAGGGTTGGAGGATTTGACCAAAAAAAACAAAGAAAAGGGTTGGAGGGACTATATTGATATCTGTTAATGTGGGTTTCCTTATCACTTATAATTAAGGACACTGAAGCTCAATAAGACTTGAAGTGCTGAGAGAGAGAGAGAGTGGGGGAGAGAGAGAGGAAGAGCCATTAGCCATGGGTCCCTCCTTGATCACTACATTAAACAAGAGCTAGGCCCATTATCTAAACTTATAGATTGTTGGGGTCGTATTGTGGGTACGTATGACCCTTCCCTGGAGGGTAGGGGGACAATACCACCTTTTACACCTACAATGCTCAATGCCTCAATGGCCAGGTTCAGTGACTCTCAGCTAAGTTGAGCTGGGACAAATTGATTAGGCATATGTACCTCAAAATATATTATACATAATGAATATTTAAAAAAAATATTAAAAAAATGAAGACCATTTGGTTGCATTTGGTCTCAAAAAGACCAAAGAGTTTAACTGAGACTAGGACTTAGATCCAATCTCAAACACGGACCCAACCCAAGTTTCACTACAAAGATTCTGGCCCAATAGGCCCTTCCATATTGTTTTTGTTTTCCATTTTTCTTATTCGAATTTTGTGTCTTTTCCCGTGTCATGTGTGAATTGCATGGGTTCTAACGCCCCCGCTAATTCCAACCAAAACCCCCAAAATCCCCAACTACCCTGACTGACTCCTCCGTCTCTGGTCTCTGGTCTCTGGTCTCTGGGCACTCAGCAGAGATGTTGTTGCAGTTGCAGAGCCTGCGGGCATTTTCAGTTGCAGAGCCTGCGGGCATTTTCAGTTGCCGACCGAACTCACGTGACCCTCCCATCCTCACGTGTCATCCGTACGTCGCTCCATCTCCACCGTCCGTCAATTTCTTTTCCGATGACCCGGCCACGTCTCCGATCACTCCCCACCGTTAGGAGCTGTACCGCCCTCGCATTCGATTTCAAAGGTGGAAAGGGGTACTTGCTTGCTTACTACATTCAATTTCTTGGTCAATTTTGGTCCTCTTCATGAATCGTTATATCCCCATTGCAATTGTTATATGAAATTTCGTGGTTTTGTTGATAGTTGTCAGATCAATTGTATAACGTACCCTAAATTTGTCGTTTTTTTTCTTCTTAGAAGCGATTTTTAGGTGTTGGGTTCCGTTGTCACTGAAGGAATTTTAATATGTAAAGTAAAGCCTTCTCCTTTTTGCACCTTGCAGAATGAGTGAGTTTCTTGATGTCGAGCTCAAAGTCCGCGATTATGAACTTGATCAATATGGCGTCGTTAATAATGCTGTTTATGCAAGTTACTGCCAGCATGGTAAGACTGCTGCTTTTACTCTTGTCTGAATTATATAAAGTTAAACATTTGTACAATCTGGAAGGCCTTGAATTTCAACACAGTTTATGATGCAAGCTTACTTGTAGGCTTTGATTGTACCAAATTCTAAGGTCCTCAAATGTATTGGCTCATCCAAAATTTCATTTCATGACTAGATTTAAATGTCGCACCCAACCCAACCTATATGCGACTGTGGCTTTAAGTTCATGCTAACACTTCCATCTGGTGTTGCCTGCAACAGGGTGTTGTAATAAGGATGCCCAATTTTTTCACAAATTTGATGGAATGCTTAATCACTCACTTTGATTACATTATTTCAATAGTTATATTGATACTGCATTAGATTGGAATTTTTTGTTCAATAATCCTTCATAAATGATGTTTGAACATTTTCTTTCCTTTTCATACATCAGCTATTCATAAATGATGTTACTTGGGCTTCTTCCAATCAATTCCCTGCTTCGAAAGATCATGTTACTGCAGAGGCCAGAGGTGATAGGATTTTATCATGGGAAATGAATCCATGGTGTTATTATACATGAAACCTGCAATGAGTTAGAGTTAAAAAGATCGCATCTTTTTCAATCTTTACAATTCCATCAAACTAACTGAGATGTTGCTTCAATATTTGATCAGGTCGTCATGAACTTCTGGAAAGGGTTGGCATCAGCGCTGATGCAGTTGCCCGCACTGGTGACGCATTAGCATTGTCAGAATTGTCACTCAAATTCCTTGCGCCACTCCGAGTATGTCTCAATATTTACATTTGGATCTCTTAAGTTTCAAACACTTTTTCATTCAGCATATGCCATCACACAAATCAGAATGTTAAAAATAAAATAAAAAACAACAAATCTTATTCTACTCCAGTATGCATGCTTGTACCACTTATTGTGAAAACCATCCTTGTTTCTGTTAACATGTTCTGCGCTACTAGAGTGGAGACAAGTTTGTAATAAAGGTCAGGCTCTCTGGTTCCTCAGCCGCTCGCTTGTACTTTGATCACTTCATTTTCAAGCTGCCAAATCAAGAGGTTTGTTATTTGTCAGTCCTAAAAATTTGCACTGCATTCATTATTAAGGAGTTGTCTTGACGCAGAGTGATCCTCTCTCTGATAATACTCTCTGAACAGCCTATCTTGGAAGCAAAGGCCACGGCAGTGTGGCTTGACAAAAGCTATCGCCCTGTCCGTATTCCACCGGAGGTGAAATCTAAATTTGTTCAATTTCTTCGTCACGAGGAGTCAAACTGATTTTCCTGCAACATGGAGTTGGTGGGAAAGACACCATCATTACTACAGCTCCAGTTGGATATGTATCTTGTTTCCCGCTTGCACCAGTGACGTGGAGGAGGAAGAAGAGATTTCAGTCACAAATTACACCTTAACAAAGTTTTTATTAATGTCAACGATGTAAACAATTACTTGTATAGAATTCATCAAACTTGTCCGGTCGTAATCCGTAGGACGCAAACAAGCAACCTCTTAACAATTTCCAATTTAAGAGAAAAGTAGGGAATGCCTGTGAGATGAGGTATTTATAAGATTCATGATTGGCTTATGATTTTAATTGAAAGGTAACTATGATTGTTTCGAATTTAATTGAATGATTAAACCCTGGGTTATGATTAATCACTTCTTGTTGTCTGAGCAGAAAGGATCATAAAATGTGGTGGTTGTTCAAGCGTCTTGATGAGTTTCGCAAAAAATCCCACCAAACGATCAAAGCAATATTGATGAACTAATTGTTTTGGGGCAAGCGGCACCAAGAAAGTTAGATTAGCACGACAACACGTGTGCCTCGTTGTAGTTTTGATTGTTAGTTAGGACATTAGGAGTTGGCACATAGAGAAGATAAGTCATCCTTAAATGGCCACGAAGAAGGCATGCACAGCAAGACGTGCTCTGCTTTGCCTACAAAGAAACAGAGTGAAATATATATATATATATATATATATATATATATATATATATATATATATATATATATATATATATAAGAGAGAGAGAGAGAGAGAGAGAGAGAGAGAGAGAGAGAAGATGGAGCCGGAAAAGAAGGAAAAGGAGAAGAAGAAGGTGATGGTGGCAATTGATGAGAGCGAGTCTAGTCACTACTCGCTTACTTGGGCGCTTGAAAACTTGGCCGATACCATACGCAATTCTGAGCTTCTTGTCTTCACTGTGCAGCCCACCAACAGTGATTTTGCTTACACTTACGCTTCCAGTTTCGGTGCTGCCCGTACGGCCTCTAATCTCCCTCTTTCAGCTTCAATCAAATACTTTTATCAAATAATTTCTCAGTAATTATTCAACTTTATACGCTAGACACCCGTCTGTCGATTTCTAATTTTCTTGCTCTGTGAATTATGCAGCTCCTGAGTTGATAGAATCTATCCTAGCAAACCACAAGAAGTTCGCATTGGCTTTATTAGACAAAGCTAAAGACATCTGCGCCAACCATGGGGTACAGTTTCTTCACTCTCTTTTTATTTTTGGGAGATTCTTTATTATACCTAATATAGGGGTTCAAATTATAAACAAAAAAACTTATATGAAATGGACTTTAAAAACACACCCAAACTCATCATTGATTGCATCAACAACGTGGTGTCGGTTCCTTGGAGCATTAGTCTCATTGTGAAAGACATTCGGATTCTGAGTTCTTATTGCGAAGAGGTTTCTTTTCAGCACATCTTTCGCGAAGCAAACTTTACTGCTGATGATGTTGCTAGCTTAGGCCATAATCTTAATCCTTCCCATTTGTGGGATCAGGGCCTTCCTTTGAGTTGTTCGGTTTCGTTTTATTTTGACTTGTTAGGGCCTGTGTGCCCTCGTGGTTTTCGATTGTAGTTCTTTTTCTTTCCCTTACCCCAAAAAAAAAATTATATACACACCTAAAGCCCATTTACAACATAACAAAGAGCTTTTTAACTTCTTTTAAATTACAAAATTGTCATTGATTTCTTAAAACAAGCCCAACCCCAAAACCTCATGAAAAAAAAACTCATAACACTCAATAGGACATCAAAGTAATTTAATAATCAAAATTAAATTCAATAGGGCCAGCTGTCATTTTTTTGAGTTTTTTTGTTTTTTTTTTGTTTATAGCAATTAAATGGTGTAGGGTTTATTTATATCATTAGTGCTAAGAATGAGTATATGACTAAAGATCTCTTTATTTTTTTACTTTTTGGCCTCGTTTGGTTCATGGGAAAGGAGGCTTGGGATGAGAAATCAATTGTTTTCCCATGTTTGGTAGGTCCAGGCATGGGAAATCATTGCCTTGCACATGGGAAAGTAAGGGGGAAAGTGAAGCCCTCCTTCCCCCTTTGGTTTTGTTTTCCTCTTATGGGAAAGTTTGGGAAAATGAGCCAATATTAAATATACATTTTTCATGACCATATTGTCCCCATTAACAATTTAGAATTACAATATAGCATTCAATGCATTTTTTTAATTTGATTTTATATGGTTATAATTGGAAAACTAAACAAACTTTTTTTACATTCCTACACAAACCAAACATGTGAAAGGAAATAAAGTAGTATTTCTTGATTACTTTTCCAAGATTACCAAACTTGGGAAATGAATGTCCATTTACCATCCCTTAGGAAATGACATGGGAAGTGATTTTCCCTCAAATCCGTTCTGTGAACCAAATGTGTCTCTGTCTAGTAGATTTTTCATTCTAGATTCTGTAAAAATATGTTATTTTGAATACTGGTTGAATTTTATTTAATTTCCTTTCGGTGCTAAAATGGATTAGACATAAATCACAATTAAGCTACAAGGAAGTCTTTCTTGGTACATACAGATTGTTGCAGAGGCAGTGACAGAGGTTGGGGATCCTAAAGAGGCAATATGTGAAGCAGTGGAGAAACACAACATCAAGTTACTTGTATTGGGCAGCCACGGCCGGGGAGCTGTAAAAAGGTATGCTCTGCTTTTCCATTTACATTTACCCCTTATTTCTTGTTGATGATGATCAAACAACTTGCAGCTTTGGTATAATACTTTTTCCATGGTGTTCTTTGCTGTTGTCATTCAATTTTGATTGCCTCAGCTTTCTGAAATACAAGTCATTGTTGTTGCATTCGGGAATTCTTCTAATTCATATATGTTGGGGTTGGGGACTTGGGACAGGGCTTTTCTGGGAAGCGTAAGCAACTACTGCGTTCACAATGCTAAGTGTCCTGTTCTTGTTGTGAGGAAACAGGAATGAAAACTGTTCTGCTATATGCTCGATGCTCGATCCAGGTCCGGGGAATGTCTATTTGTACAAGTGATTTTTATTAAATCAACTTTAACTTGCATATCCTGGAAGGAAAAAAGTTGTATGTTCTTTTCATTTCATATGTTGCTTGGTGTGATTGAAATAAAAGTCCTGTCGAAACATAAAAGCTGTGATTGAATAAAGCAAAAATTAGTTAATTCTGCTTCAGTTTTAAGATTTGATCCAGTGGCTATAGTTTGGATGATTTAGAGGTTTCAAATTTACAGCTCCTACATAGTTATCTGATACAATTAATCCTCATGAAGACCTATATCAAACAGACTCTTTTTTTTTTCCAGCCATATGCAAATGAAGTGCCAATTGACAACGAGGGGAGTAGCCTGACTCCTTATAAATCCAGGCTAGGTCCCTTAACTTTAGGGTTTAGGATCACACCGTGGACAACACATATTATGTGGCGTGGAAACACATGTGGCCGTTGGACCCAACATGGCAATGGGGGGAGTAGCCCAACTCCTTATAAATCCAAGCTAGGTCCCTTAACTTTAGGGTTTAGGGTCACATCGTGGACAACACATATTAGGTTGCGTGGGAGCATATGTGGCCGTTGAGCCCAACATGGCAATGGGGGGAGTAGCCCAACTCCTTATAAATCCAGGCTAGGTCCCTTAACTTTTCAACGTGGGACAAATACTCTCAACAAGCCCCCGCATGTGTGGCGAACTTTCAGGTGTAACACATGGACAATACATATTGGGTGGTGTAGGGGACGTGTGGCCATTAGACCCAACACATAAAGCCTTGCTCTGATACCAAAAAGGAAATTGAGGTTCCACCCCAAAACCAATTGGGGGGAGTAGCCCAACTCCTTATAAACCCAGGTTAGGTCCATTAACTTTTCAATGTGGGACAAATACTCTCAATAAAGTTGACTTCACAACTCAAAGCATTGTTAACTAAGGTCCATGATTTGGTGAGAGATCATTATATGCTACAGTGGATTTATTTATTTATTTATTTATTTTTTTTGTCAAAGATGCTACAGAGGATGGGATGGTGGGATGGGATGGGATTACCAACCCACTGGAAAACAAAATGGATTAGATTTTGATTAAGTAACCAAAACAAGCAATGCTAACCCTGGGATGGCAGTGTGAAAATGACAGTGGCCCAGAAGAAATTCGCGGAAAATTTCCCAATAAGATAAACACGAGGCGTCACGGAATTGAATTATATGAGTAAAGTAAACCAACCCACCGACTCAAAGAAGATGACGAATAAAATGAAGAAAGAGAACTTATCCAGTTTCTTTCATGTGGAGACTTAATGTTTGACTGGCAGTTACGACCTGCCTACCGTTTTGACAAAACAGGAGAGATCTGCTTCTGTTGTACTCCCAAAATATCTGATAAATAGAGAGAGCAGTCTGCTTTTTTCCAACCACATCATAATTATCTGCCCTGTTTTATAAAACCCAAGACAATGGCTGAGGCAATGGAAAACGGAACTGGGACTGACAAGAAGGTGATGGTGGCCATTGATGAAAGCGATTGCAGTCACTATGCTCTCATGTGGGTTCTTGAGAACCTCAAAGACTCCATAACCAAGTCTCCCTTGATCATCTTCGTGGCTCAGCCTCCTGCCACCGGAAATATCACATTCGCTGCGTCTCTCGGCGTTGCTCGCATGTATTACCCCATTTCATCCAGTTAAGTTCTTCCATTTCTCTCACTGTTGTTGTTGATGTTACATAAGAGAAAAACAAATACCAACTTCATATATTTCTTTTTTTTTCTTTTTTTAAATTTTATTTTTTTGGTGCCTAGTGGCCTACTTTTCTTTTGTTTATTGCGCACATTGGTGTTTCTCAAAAATTGTTCTTGTTGTGAATACAGCTCCGGGATATGTTGAATCTGCCCAGGAAAATCATAGGAAGTTTGCGGTGGCTCTGTTGGAGAAAGCTAAACAGATATGTGCTAGTCATGGGGTAAGGCCAAACCTCTTGATTCTTTAATCCTTTTTTGGTTTGGTAATCATTTTATTCTTTAATCTGTACTGTAATCACAAAACCTCATATAGAATACTAGGTATCAGTTATTCCATTTTTAAATATGGTTATTAAATCCATAGTATTTTTATTAGCCCATCGTGGTTCCCTGACTGACAGTAACAATCAAACTCCGTGTGTTACTCATTTAGGTGTTATAAACAGAAAAAATAGAAATGTAATATAGGAAAAAATGTAAACAGAAAAAGTAGATTCGCTTAATCTATAGTGACAAAAACTTTGTTAATTCTTGAAATTAGTGTAATGATTTACAAGAACATACTCTGTATTTAACTGCTAATTTGTGTTGATTGCGTAGCAATCCTGTTCTAATTAGCCGATATGAAAATGTATGCTTATGGTAGGTAGACCACCTGTTTCATAAGTATTTATGATGTTTGTGACATGTTGTGAGCCAGATTCTATACTTCAAACTTATAACCTTATATGAATATATTAGTTTTGTAATTTTCTTTTTCATAGGTAGAGGCAAAGGTAGTTACAGAGATTGGGGATCCTAAAACAGCCATATGTGATGCTGTTGAAAAACACGACATCAATTTGCTTATTCTAGGGGAGCGTGGACATGGAACAATCAAAAGGTTAGCTTCATTCTTTTCTGTTTGTGAGTGTGTGTGAGTATGGGCATGTCCTTGTTCTTTTGTTTAGTTAGTGGTCTTCTGATGATTTTTAATGTGGTGAGTCAGAGCCATACTTGGCAGTGTCAGCAACTACTGCGTTCAAAATGCTAAGTGCCCCGTTCTGGTTGTGAAGAAAGCACAAGTTCAAGTTGCTTGACATGATCCAGATTTCAGGATGTAAATAATATGCATAATTAAGAAGCATGTAGTGTGGCATATTAATTGTGTTTAGATTTGGATGATTCTGGTATCCGGAGAACGATGGCAACTTAAACTGTTGACAGAATCTGGGTGACATATGTTAGTCTTCTTATGTATCATGTGTTACCAAAACTTGCTGGACTTATAAGCAGCAAGCCATTTTCTATTAGATTTACCGTGTGTGTTCACATGCTTGAAACTTTTAGAAACAAAGAGATTACTAGACTTTGAAAAGAGTGATGTATTTTCATAAGTTGTTCCAAAGTTTTATGGACAATACATAATTTACTACACTGGTTTTAAATTTGGAGGCATGCTTCTTGAAATCTAATCAACTTGAAGCAGAACTGTTCTGTCACCCGAAGATACGGTTGAGGGTGGCTGCTAGTCGAACTCCACCTTGAGCCAACCGCCAATTGACTATTGGTAGCCGGGAGAGGAAATATTCATCTGCAAACAATGTTTTTAATCATTTTTCATTCTGAGGAACAAACAAACATAAACTAGCGTTGAATTCAAAACACTCTCCTTACCTTGTAGCACTGAACCTTCTTCTGCACCCTTGTATGCCCAATCACAGGCCGCTTTGATGCCTTCAGATGCATATCTGCAAAATAAGTACCCAGATTTGTTTAAATGCAGGTCTTATGAATTTCTTTCTTATGGGGTTGTGATACATACACGTCTGGGCATGCTGTCTTATTCAAGCTGCAGGTCTCCCAACCCTTAACTTCATCTGCCCATTCAGTCTGTTGCCAAGAAATATAAAGCCAAACAGAACACGAGAAAAAAAAAACAGGTGGATGAGTCTCAGAAAATATTGCCAAGACCAAGTCTATTATAGTTGACACATAATGGATGCAATGCAAATACCGTAATATTTTGTTTAATTGCATCAACCAGTTCTTCCACATTGGAGTCATAGAATCTCTCTTCTGCTGTCTCGACTATGTTGTCATCCCAAATCTGAACGCAGTATACGTTTAAAATGGTTTAACTAAAAGTAGCTTGTGCAAAACTTGAAAGGGGGATGGAGTTGGCAATTAGACTCACATGGTGAAGATTTTGCTTCCTGGTGTACCAGTGAACATCAATTGTATTGCCTCCCTTGTCTGAAGTAAAACCTACATGCAGAGGCTGTGTAACAAATGTTAAGATAAAAAACTAATGTAAGGATCAAATCATGCATGTCTGGGAATAGAGCCTGTGCCTGCCATACCTGATGGATGTCTCCAATGAAATGGGAAAGAAACAGAAGCGCTTGCGTGAGATTATCTGATTCATTGCAGAAAGAAGAGAGTTAAAACAGAACTTGGTCAGCCAAATTGCGTATTAGATCACATAATAATTAGGATTAGGATCTTCAAAGCGTAAACAAAGTTTGTTTACATTTAGGCTGAGAAGAATGGGTAGTGTAACTGAGAAGCTGTGAGGTATAATTGTTAATAGCCCCTGCAACACAGCGCCCCTTCTCTCCATTTTCATCTTTGCAGTCCCCTGGGGATTATGACTATGAGGAATTTTTGTACTTTAAAATCTCTCAGAAATTACATGATCAGTTATTAGAAGGAAACAATACACTAATGTGAAAATTGAAATAAAATGTTTAAAAAATTGTAAAAGACTTACTATTGTACTGGTAATTACAAAGGTTGTCAGGAGTATTAATGTAGTGAAGGGCAGAGGACCAGTGATAAATAAACTTGACATGATCTGGCCATATGCACAGACTGCCCAAGTCATTTTCTGCATAGGCAGGAAGCAGCTGCTTCACTGCATCTGCTGCTGCTTTGCTCAACCTAGACTGTCATCACATCACAGCACCAAGGAATTTACACAAATCATTTCATCTAAGCCACACAAAGAATGAAGAGAGATGATGATGATGATGAATAAGTAAGAAGAACCTGAGCAATTCTGCAAACTGTGAGATGGCCAACAGTTCCCCAACCATGAATGACAGGAAAAAGAAGCAGCAGTGAACACAAAGTAATTATCTGGATTCTGCCACACCCCATTGCTTCCTTTGCTCCCAATACCACTGCCATCATATGTGATGGCCTTTCTCTGCTTTTATAGTTACCACTCATATATGAGAGTGGGGATTTAAAATGGAAAACAATCTAAAATTGATTGGAGGGCCTTTTCTTTTGAATGGATATCCGAATTTTGGATTGAATCATATTTGGATGTCATTGAGTTACGACCGCAATAGATTGTTTATTTATTTCCTTTGTGAACGAAATGAAATGGTGGCTCTGATGAAACTCTGTGTTCACACACAAACACCATTGGACTAAATGACTGACCTTTCGCAATGTAATATATATATATATATATATATAATAAAAGGTTAAGGGCGTTTCTTGGCCATTTAAACAGTAACTCAAGGATTTCATTTCATATATGTATTCATTCATGGTAACGTGCTTGAAATGGAAAGCAACTTTAAAAAAGAATAGGATTTGAAACATGGAGAACTTGTGGTGGTGGTGGTCGGACTGTACGTAACGGTAGATGCTCTTCAAAGCCAAGCCAACAGAATATCACGGTATGGATTGATTCCGTGTGTTAAAGACGCATATCGTAGTTTCTGTTTTTTGTTTTGTTTTGAGGGAATACTTTGTGTAATTGATTACTCACAAATAGTCCTAAATTCTTGGTTTATTCATCTATTACATCATCTCATCCGTTTCATTATCCCTTCTTCATATCTCTCTCCTTATTTAATAAGTAACATGAGAAGAGAGATAGGAAGAAGGTGACAATGAAACTGGGATAAGAAAGTTTTTTTCCTTGTTTTGATATCTTTCTTTGTGGAATATTATTTAGATACTAATAACCTTTTCCTTCTACAAAAACAAAAGGCAATGACCTTTTGCTTTAGCTGGGTGTTTCACAATATTGACATTACAATAGATAGGCTATGTGTATTAAAAGACGTAAAATATAATTTACTAATTTTAATCTCTAGTACCCTATGCACGCTGGACAGCCAGTGCCACTCTCACAATAATATACGCAACCAAAAACCTATGATAATAATACCTTTAATTTTATATGTTTAATAGTTTTATAATTTCCTATGTACGTACAAGGTAATGCGATAGCGGACGGAAGGTCATACATGTAACTTACTATAAATAAGGCCAGGAAATACAAAAATGAAATTGAGAAGAACAAGGTCATTTTCTTGGTAGCTGATTTTGTTTACACGAGGAAAAATGAATAATATCGGACAAGGGGCATAACGAGAGTGGGCTCATATCATATCTTTTATGTGAGATCCATTAAATTACTTTACTCTTGTTAAAAACAGATTTACACGATTGATTTGGTATAGGCTAACAAACTTTCTGTGTAATTATAATAGGTCCAAAGACTTAGATGGGACGAGGCCCAAAAACTTAGATAGGCCTGGTAAAGTTAACCTTTGAATAGAGTGTGGGCCTTGTGCATACGGTTCGTAAGAGTCAATAAATGAGCTGGTAATTACTTTCTTTTCTTTTCTTTTCCTAGTAGTAATAGGAACATAAGAATAGGAATAGGTTCGGGTGACCTGTTCCGTTCAAAACAATAACTCATAAGTCTTTTTGTGATAATCTAATGTCAAAGTCAATAATATCCTCAGTCATTTCAATATTCAATACAGAGCAATGGACATTTGGGGTCGTTTCTTCCCGCCATACGCGTAAAAGTTTGGTAGAAAAAACTTAATTCATTCATTAATTATAGCAATGCATATCACGTTACATGTTTGTTTATATCTTTCATCAACTCTTACTTCCTAGTTCATATATTATGCATTAATAATTTATTTTACATATTATAAACTCTCAGACTTTTAGAAAGATATTATCAAGTAATTACATTACTATGTTGGTTGGTTTTAACCCATGCTAAATTGCTAATGATGTCCATGGGTCAAGGTCCCCATTAATAATCTTTGAGACTAGATTATTTCTGTTTACACACGAAGACTGCCAGCTATATAGTAGCATATTGACCATGATATATATATATTTGTGGCCTATACACTACTATACCTACGTTTTTGCTTGGTATGCCATTGACTCACCTTACAAATTACAATGGCGTGGGTTCGGTCAGGTTTGATTCAGTTTTGAGTCTTATTTGGGACACCAAATCGGAGGCCTCGGGTTGTTCATTTTCAAAAAAATTCTTAAAAGAAGTGCAAGAGTGAGTGAACCGTTGAATTTTTATCCAACGGTAAGTGACCACAAATACAGAAATTCTCTTATACGGATATCCGGACATTATTACCATTAGGTTTTTATTTTTATTTTTTTGGTAATCTATAAATAGGAAATTAGGTGGGTACATACTACCTAACCTACTTTTGTCAGTTTGCGGGAACACCAAACTTATGTTTTATATATATAAATATCTCTCTCTCACTCTTTAACTGCACCCCATCATCGTCGTTATTGTGAACCAGACTCAAACATGTTTCTTTTTTTTTTTTCTTTTTTATAGAAATTCTAGGATTGCATTCATAATTCAGCAAAAAAAACATTAGCCAAAAAGGGCCTATACAAACTAGCCACAAAGGGCCGTTACAATAACAGAGCGGTCTAATCTCAAAACTAAAACAATCTGGTGCGTCTCTATTAATAATCACGCAAAATCAAAGAAACTCTAACATAGACATTCTAACTAAGATTGCAAACTTGGAATAATAAAAAAAAGATAAAGCTTGAAAAGACCAAGCTATAACAACACAAATAAAACTCTCACAAATGAGAAATGAAAAGCTCTCACAAATGAGAGATGAAAAGCTCTCACAAATGAGATATGAAAAACTCTCACAAAAGGAGAGGTGAAAAACTATACAGAGAACCCAAAGAGTCTTTGTGACTTATTTCGAGATAAAGAACCCGCAAAAAGAATGGTGATGGAGATTCGACGCAAAAAAGCAGGTGAAGATATGAAAATAAGGAAAACATTTTGTCTCTAAAAATGAGGAGAAATGAGATGGAGGAAGAGAAGAGAGGAGAGGGTAGATAGAAGGAAAAATAGTGGCTTCCTCCCCTCTCAAAGTGAAAACGGTTCTAGGAGAATTTTTTGGGAGAGCTAGAATTTGACGGAGAATTCTATATATGATCACATTAATGGCATAAGTTTGAAAATTCTTAACCATGTGTCTCTATCTAGTACAGATTAATTAATTGGACCTCAAATCAAAGCCATTATGATTAATCTTGATATTAAAGCCTCAACCCCTAAATACTACTACTGTCTTTATTATGTTGATGGATTTGAACAGCAATACCACTTCCATGGCAACAAACAATTATTTGATTGGACTTTGTTGCATGCAGACACTAGCTACTAGCTAGCTGTGCTGTGATGCGATGATACGTGCCGGTCCGCCTCATCAAAAAGAGAAAATTATATAATACCTAATGGTTTTGTTTGGACGGAGATGCAGTGCGACCAGTGCGCACCATGCGAAACACACTTGAGAATTGACATTGTACGAAAACAGAGAAAGTGCCTCCGATTTCTTATAAAACTGGACCACTAATTTATGGATATTTCGCCATCTTGGCCGGTGAGTCGTGCAACAGAGGCACCCACATCAATTACAAGAAAATCAATGGAATCAATGTCAATTACATAAATTATCATATGGTAACGTAGTTTATGTGATATAACTCGTTCATATAATACAAGTAGTAGTCAATATTTCATATTTCTCATGTTATAATATGGATGTTATAATATGGATGGACAACATAGTTAATATTTTTTATTTTTAAAGTATAATACAATAAATATTAATTTATATTATAATAAGTATATGAATTATACCACTCCAGCTGAAGACTAGAAAAATACAAAATTCTAATAAAGTCTTGTCGCGTGTCAAGATCCCAATGGTGGAACCGTCAATTCTCTGACCACCACAAGTTTTGGACCGGGCCTGAAAGTAAAATAATGGATCACATTGTCCTGGGGCTCGCCTGCACCAGTGAGTCAGCCATTTCAATTCCAATCTTATTTGAAACCTTATGTTTAAACTTCCCACGAGGCCCCGCTACGCTTTTCTGACGTGGAGCGAATATCGCTGCTGCTATTTTATTTTACAGACCCAGTCGTTATCTTCCACATCAGTCTTCGCAACTAAAACCCTTTTTCTATAATTTCTAGCATATTCCCCACATGTATTATCTTTTCCTGCACTTCGCCTATATAAATACCCAAAAGCCCCACCCATCTCAAACCTCCTCCCTCCGTCACTTCGTTCTCCTCTCATTCTCTATCTATCTATTTCTCTCATGGAAATTCCAGTAGTGAACAGAATAAGCGATTTTCAGTCCCGCATAACCTCGCTGCCGGACCCATCTTTCTTCTCACAGGCCTTTTCGATTTCCGGCATCGAAAGGGTCTCTCAAGCTTGCAGCTTTTGGAAATGGGGAGCTCTCATCATCGCAATTCTAGCTTCCTTCGGCACCATACTCACTAAAATAAACATTTTTATTACCAGACTCCGACGCCTAGGAATTTTAAGCTCCCAGGCTGTTTCCCAGAAGCTCCAAGACGACGATTTTTCCGACATCGACGACGACGATGACGAAACCTGTTCCATTTCGTCGTCCTCCTCCTTATCCGATGATGAATTAGAATCCGATTCCGAGATATCGTACGATAACGCCGGTACTCCCACTGCCAGGGATGAACATTTCCTAGTCAGGGGCTCTGGTTATTACGGAGACGACCGAGGGCAGAATCGTAATTCGACGCTCCGCCGGCGCCGAAGCTTCGGAGGCCACCACCGGTTCTCTTGGTCCGACTTCACCTCCGGCAAGAGTGTCGTCAAGCTCTGGGACACGTCATCGCCGGCCACGTTTCTATCTGCGGACACAAGTGTCTCGGGGCGTGCGTCAATCGGTGTATGGGACACGCGCGTCGGAGGCCGGTTTCCGGCGATACTTGCCGATTGGGGCCCGCAGCTCGGGAGAATCGTTGGAGTTGGGTCTGGCGGCGTCGAGAAGCTTTACGTCAAGGATGGCGTCACGGGGGCCTTGACGGTTGGTGACGTGAGGAAGGCGGAGTCGCCGTTACGGAATGTAACGGACGCTGACATGGATGATACATGGTGGGATGCTGACGCCGTTATTGTGACGGACGAGCGTTTTGACGAGTCAGCCGTGAGTGGATGTGACTCGGCCGTCACGCGGTGTTGTAGCGCGGTTAGGTCTTATCTTTTGTAATTTGTAAAAGTGGGAAATAACAGATGTCAAATAATGCAAGGTCATTATTTTGTAAATATATTATTGTTTCCCTATTATTTATTTTTAATCAATATTGTTTGTTTCCCTATTATTTAAGATTTATTTTCTTTTTGATTTGGTATCTTAGCTTGTAATTGTAATTAACAGATAAAATGGGATATTGCAAGCTTCTTTGTAGCTTCCCAGTGATGACCGGAGTCATTGTTTGCCACGTATTTTCGTTGTTTTAAGTAAATTGTTAAATTAAGAAATATAAAAAAAGACAAGTCGTTATTGCGTTTACATCAATTGCCAGCGAGCACCATCTAAATGTCCTAACCATCGTTATTGCGTTTACATCAATTGCCAGCGAGCACCATCTAAATGTCCTAACCATCTTCCACATTAAAAAAAAAATATGCATCACGTGCAAAAAAAATAATAATAATTGACTCTTTGTTTGCGTGAAGTGGTTCCAAATTTCCGTTGTTTGAATTTAGGATTTTTCTAAGAAATTCAAATTCTTAGGCAAACTAGTACGGTCAGGGAGGAGAGGATTATATTATGATTTTAACTCAAATGATGTTATTATAGAATGAGAAAATGATAGGTTATGTATACACACACATACAACAAAAAGATAAAATGGTAAATTCACCTCATTTTTACTTGATTGAATATAAGTCATATTTTAGAAGGAAAATGCTAGGCTTACCACATTTTTCATACCACCTCTCTAATAGAGGTGGGCCCCATTGTATTGGTGGGCTCCACCTCTATTAGAGAGGTGGTATGAATGTGGTATGAAAAATATGGTAAGCCTAGCATTACCCTAATAATAGAGAGTTTCTATGTGCAAACAATACACAGTCCTTAAAAAGACATTGATTTTTCAGAAGTGGGTTAGGTCATTGGTAGGACTGTATGCCCATCCAAGTTCAAGTTCATATTCCCGTAAATTATATTAATTTATAATAATTTAAATTATCACTATAATTTTGCAGAAGTGGGTTAGATCAATGGGTAGGGACACATTGTTGGAAAGTTATACCTTATAAAATTAGGTAGCAATAATGCCATGGTTTCTTGGACAAATGAATTAATTTTGTTGTTGCGCCTAATGAAGTTAGGAATACAATTAACACAATGTCGTGCTCTACTTTTAATCAACATTAATGGGTTGGCATGAGAATTGAAGTAATTAAATTAGAAAGAACACATCTTGAACAAAATATTTGCTCTATCTTTCTTTCCACACAGCTTCCTTTTGTCGATGTTATGGTTTGATTCTCAAGGAAGAAACATCAGAATTCAAAGACCCATACATACTTCCATACATATAACTTGGAAGTTTAATTTACTGTATAAATATGAATATTGTGTTACGCAACGATGAGCATACTTTACCCTAAAACCAAGACAACTACACTTGTCTTCTACTTACTTTGGTCATAAATCAAATGAAACTTGTATACCATAAGTTAACCAGTTACGTGACCATTTTCAATTTTGCTCACCAAAACGAAAACGCGACGTTATTTACACACTTGAATTTCTACTTTCTTCTACCACCATGCGCCCCTGAATGTGTAGCTTTGGACAAAATCCACGGCACCAAGAAATAAAAAAAATGGTATTTGGGTTTCTTTGTCAATAGTGTCCTTGTCGGGCTGAAGCTATGTTTTTGGGCCCAAACTGGGAGACTGGTGGGCCTTTCCTGTTATCAACTCAAGCTATTTCCATTGTAGACATCTCCATGCAGTGAAATAAATGTTTCATGGATCCTACTATTATTATTTGATTTCTATTATCAAAATAAGGTTGGATTACGATTAAGGATTACTCATATGGAATCATTCTATAGTGAGGGTCTTATATACGACTTGTACTTTAACCTAACAACATCGACATTTTAGTAATTAACTGGTTTCAATTATGATTCATGGGAATGTGGTAAACAACTTATGAAGAATCAATACCATTCTTAGCCTAATTCTAAATAATTTAGTACACATTTTAAATGAGAATATGAATTCTAACTTCTCCTCATCAATTGCGCATTAGTAAACATGCATGAAATGTGAAATTAAGTTGGAATTTTATTTCATCTGGTCTGGTCGACATTAATAGTGTATTAATATTGAATCAATCTATCGGTCCCGAATTTCATCGTAAACTATGTGGACGTTAACCTAGAACATTGATGAATTGGCTACTATCTAGTAGTGGCATCTTTAAGCCAAAATACTTCTGAAGAATGCTCATGATATGTTTGTTTATTGGTCAAGTCAAGAGTTGAGGCTGTATATAAAAATTGTGTGGGTGGGGAGAGGGTAGTTGCACTGGAGTTTCCCTTCTCTTCTCCTCGTGCAGAGCAGTTTGTGCTGAAGAAATCTACATATATATAATATATATGTATGTACCCAACCCAGAATCTTATAAAACTTGAGAAGGGCTATTAATAAATGAAACAGGCTGCAAGTAGGAAGAAACTAATTAAGCCAATAATAAGCATAGCATATCGATCAAAGTTTCTTTCCCCGTTAGATAGCTAGTGAACACATCTAAATTAAGAAACACAAATGCAGAAAACAAGAGCCAATGAATCAATTATTAATTCAGCTATGGACAATGGACATAAAATCCAAAAAATAAACAGACAATTAACGAATCAATTAAACAATAAATCAAAGTTTGCTGCTGCTGCTGCTGCTGCTTATGAATGAATGAATGATGTCAATACTCTGTGAGTCCCTTGATGAACTTGAACATGGAAGGAGAAATGGAACCACCCACGTTAACATTGGGAGACGCATGCGACGAGGAATCTGAGAATCTGTAAAGAGGGCGAGGGGAGCAGAAGAAATCGGTCGAAGAAGTCGAAGTTGGCGTGAACAGAGGGATGTCTGCAAAATAGGGCTGGCTTGGGTGGCTGAACATGGCATTGGGAGGATAATATCCACAAGACGACAATGAGCTGCCTTTGTTTCCTTGATGATGAACAACATCAACATTCTTGTTATTATTATTATCACAATTCTCATCCGTGAGACCCGAAGACGACTGATCATTGTCATCATGGCTGCAGCTGCTAATTATAGAGTTACTTGCAGTACTATTCATGTTGTTAATGTCGATGATCTGGTCATCTTGATCTCTTCGCCCCTGCGACAACGACAAAGCGTCCACCTTTACATGAACATGATCATCAGTAGTAGTAGTAGATTCAGGTTGTTGGGTTTGGTCGAGGCCGGTGAGCTTTTGGACCAAAGCCATGAAATCACGTGCCTGCGTGTGGATGATCTTGGGAGATTGGGTGTAAATGATCACCGGCTGCCGCTGTTGCTGGTGGTGTTGTTGGTGTTCATGGGGATGTTGTTGATTGGCCATGCGGGAAGAGGAATTATTATTGTTGGGAGGTTTTTGAATGAGATAGGAAGCCTTGCTGATCTTCAATGGGGAGGGGCGGTTGCCATTCATCATCATCATCTGA